CAGAAGAACTCCACAACCGTGAAGGATCTCCATACGACACGCACACTGTTCCACATCGTAGTGAAGTGGGAGCGGTATAAGCCAACCCACCGTGGCGTCACTCAGTGCTCGAACTGCCTATTGTTCGGGCACGGCACCAGGAACTGCCGCATGGCCAGCCGCTGTATCAAATGCGGCAAAAACCACAAGATCGACGACTGCGACAGCATCGAGGAAGCCGCTCCCACATGCGCCAACTGCGGTGCTGCCCACAAGGCCACGAGTAAGGCCTGTCCGAAGCGGGCCGAATACGCCGAGATCCGGAAGAAGGCCTCGTCCAACAACCAGCCCGGTCGCAAGAAGGTCCCGGAAAACAACGCGCAGAACTTTCCTCCGTTATCACCGGTCCAACCACGGCCAATTCCAGTGTTGGCGCCGCTCCCGCTCAACCAACAGTTGGCTGCTGCCCAGTCGGCTGCCGCTGCAGTACCCAGTCAAGCCTCCGGCCCATCGACGGATCCCCCTGCTCCGGGATTGGCCGGTACAACCGGTGAAGCTACAGACGATTCTCCGCTGTCAACGGATGAGATCGTCACACTGTTGGCCCAGGCCATCATCATCAAGCGCACCTGCGCAACAAGAACACAACAGCTCCAAGCTATCATCTCCTTCGTCGCTAATTATGGACCGTGAACCCATAAAGATCGCCAACTGGAACGCTCGCTCCGTAGGGGCGAAAAACATTGAGCTTGCAGACTTCCTCCGCAAGCACGACATCGACGTGGGCCTCCTCACCGAGACCCACCTCAAGACCGGTGACAGCTTCTGGCTGCCCGACCACAGCACTGTCCGGCTTGATCGCACCAGCTCCAGGGGGGGCGGTGTCGCGGTCATCATCAAGAAAGGCATCAAGTACTGCACCCTATCCCACTACCGCACTTCCATCATCGAGGCCGTCGGCGTAGAGGTGGAAACATCGACCGGAAACATCCGGTTCATCGCCGCCTACTGTCCCCGGCAATGTACCGTTAGCAATGGTACAGCACAGCAGTTCAAGAACGACCTTGCCATCATAACCCGCACCAATGCCCGCTTCGTAATCGGAGGGGACCTGAACGCCCGGCACGAGGCCTGGCGGAACTACCAGCAGAACCAGAACGGCCGCCTGCTATTCGACCATTCCCAGCATGGTCTCTATTCCGTCTGGTTTCCGGACGAACCAACCTTCACATCACCGACGGGCAACCCATCGACGCTGGACCTGTTCTTGGCAAACACCAGATTAGCCAAGCCGGTTGCCGTCAACGACCTGAGTTCGGACCACCAACCGGTGCTGACCGAGCTGGGCTACAACGTGGCCCCTGCACCGTGCCAGCGGAAGGACTACCATCGAGTCAACTGGGTCCAGTTTCGACGCGTGGTCGACCGCCACATCGACGACAACCCACCGCTCGACACAGTGGAGGACATCGACCGGGCCCTGGAGGGTCTCCATCAAGCCATATCCGTGGCTGACGAAGAGTGCGTTCGACGAGTTCCTGTGAGGGGTAAGTTTCAAGCAATTGATTCCCACACCAAACTCTTGATTCGGCTCAGAAATGTTCGTAGACGCCAGTTTCAGCGGACTGGGGATCTGCAGCGTAAATACGAAATGGTCGATCTGAATCGGCAGATCGCTTCCAGAATGGTCTCAATCCGGAACGAGAGTTTCGGGCGGCTCGTTCAGAACCTGGACGACCGTTCCAGACCATTCTGGAAGGTTGCCAAGGTGCTGAAGTCTCACCCCAAGCCCATTCCACCACTTAGAGTCAATGACGAACGGCTTATCACCAACGAAGAGAAGGCCAATGCGATTGGGGAGCACATTGCCCAGTCGCATTTGCTTGGCTCTAAAATCCCAAGTCCACTCGAGAACCAGGTTGCGCAGTGCGTCCTGACGTTAGATGCCTCCCCTTGTGCCGTCCCTCCAGAAGAACGGATTACAGAGGAACAAATTTGCTCAGCGCTGAAATACAGTAAGAACATGAAGGCTCCCGGGTTTGACGGAATATTCAACCTAGCGTTGAAAAATCTCAGCCCGAGGGTGCACTCGCTGCTAGCTGCCACCTTCAACAGATGCTTGGAGCTGCACTACTTTCCAAGCATCTGGAAGGTGGCAAAAATCATCCCGATCCGCAAACCTGGGAAAGACCCTTCACTACCGTCAAGCTACAGACCGATTAGCCTGCTCTCAGCGCTGAGCAAGCTGTTCGAAAAATTGATCCTCAGCCGACTAAACAAGTTTGTGGAGGAACATGACATTCTTCTTCCGGAACAGTTCGGGTTCCGTAAGGGGCATTCCACCAATCATCAGCTAGTGCGGGTGATGAATAACATCCGGAGTAACAAAGCTGTATCCAAGTCCACAGCCATGGCCTTGTTAGACGTCGAAAAGGCGTTTGACAATGTCTGGCACGACGGACTTATATACAAGCTTTGTAACTCCAACTTTCCACCATACCTTGTGAAAATCACCCGTAACTATCTCCAGCAAAGGTCGTTCAGGGTGTCGTTGAATAGTTCCCTTTCGGGACAATTTCCGATCCCAGCAGGTGTTCCGCAAGGGAGTCTGCTGGGACCACTGCTTTACAGCATCTACACGTCGGACATCCCTCCTCTAGGAGACGGTTGCGTGTTCTTTCTGTTTGCAGATGACACCGCGATAGCCGTCAAAGGTAGGATGCCTCGTGAAATTACGAACAAGCTCCAACGATGCCTTGACACCTTTACTGATTATGCCACCACGTGGAAAATCAAAATCAACGCCTCGAAAACCCAAGCGATCATGTTCCTTCACAGACAATCATTAAAACTTAAACCGTCTCCCTCCTGTACCGTAATAATGGATGGTACAAGGGTCGAGTGGTCCACTGATGTTACTTATCTCGGGATGTTGTTCGATGAGAAGCTCCTGTTCCGCTCGCACATAGAGAAAACCCTAGTTAAGTGCTCCGCCTTGGTTAGGTGTTTGTATCCGCTCATTTGCCGCAGATCCCGCCTCTCAAGGCAAAACAAACTGGCTGTTTACAAACAGATCATAGCCCCCGCGATCTTCTATGCCGCCCCGGTGTGGGAATCGTGCGCTCAGACCCACAGGAACAAAATCCAGGTTGCACAGAATAGAGTGTTGAGGATGATCCTAGATCGTCCATTCGACACAAGAATAGCAGACCTCCATCAAGAGGCAGAAATTCCCAAAGTAGATTCCAAAATTGATGATATGACAACTAAATTTATTCAAAAATGCAATCTTTCTGAACATGCTTTAATAAGCAATTTGTACATAGTAGGTTAAGTGTATATAGTAGAGTAGGTTTTAAGCTGTAAATAGTAGTATTAAGTAGTTTCTCTTCAAATTCTAAAAACAAAACAAACCAATCCCACCAAGGTGGTCGACCGTGTACTAAGTCTAGGACTAATTCTGTAAAAAAAAAAAAAAAAAAAAAAAAAGATGAAGAAAGCAATTGAATCACTTAGTAAAAAATTTATATGGTAATCGTCCAAGTTAAACTAAAATAAAGATCATTTAAACTAAAAAATCGAGTCAATCATTCTATTCTCGGACGCCGAACAGTGCGCACCTAGCACAGCTAACCATAGCAGAGCGCACCCCGCAGAGCTAACCCTAGCAGAGCGCCATAGACCAGTCGTCAAGTCGGAGTCCATCTATATAAGACGGGCTGCCGGTCTCATTCCGTCATTCTATTATCCGACGCCGAACAGAGCGTACCTCGCAGAGCTAACCATAGCAGAGCGCACCCCGCAGAGCTAACCGTAGCAGAGCGCACTCCGCAGAGCTAACCCTAGCAGAGCTAACCCTAGCAGAGCGCCACAGACCAGTCGTCAAGTCGGAGTCCATCTATATAAGAAGGGGTTCCGGTCGCATTCCGTCATTCTATTATCCGACGCCGAACAGAGCGCACCTCGCAGAGCTAACCATAGCAGAGCGCACCCCGCAGAGCTAACCGTAGCAGAGCGCACCCCGCAGAGCTAACCGTAGCAGAGCGCACCCCGCAGAGCGCCACAGACCAGTCGTCAAGTCGGAGTCCATCTATATAAGACGGGCTGCCGGTCGCATTCCGTCATTCTATTATCCGACGCCGAACAGAGCGCACCTCGCAGAGCTAACCGTAGCAGAGCGCACCCCGCAGAGCTAACCGTAGCAGAGCGCACCCCGCAGAGCTAACCCTAGCAGAGAACCACAAACCAGCCGATACCAGTCATGGAATCTGGAAGATCGATGCGAAATCACGACATCCTGCTCATCACATTGTTTCTTAGGCTGTGTTTCATTTGGTGAATTTTCTCTTGAATTTGATACTTCAAAAATAAATTTAAATGTTCGAAAATCCCATTGTTTTTGATCGGCAGATTTTAGAGAACGTGTCTCTCAAAACCGGTTCCTTGTCTGTCAGAAATAATTTTGCCATTCTCGCAGGTTTATTTGAACATTTCCATGTGTCCAATATAAGTGTATATTCACTAAATGGAGTCTTTTAGTGAGTCAGTATCTTCTAAAACTAATATTTTTTCAATGTAATGAACAAACTACCATAATCCGTGTTTTTTAACAGTGCAAAGGAGTCTGGTACATAAAAGAGAATCCTGCAGAGAAACAAGGATGCTGTCGAATGCTTCAACTTGTGTGGCACCAACGTTACGAAAATCACATCGTTCTTTCATTTAAATGTAGTACTCATGGCACCGTATGTAGTAGAGGCAACCGAGCTTGTGCTGGAACTAACACCCTCATGCTGTGAGTCCTTATCGGTGTGCTGTCTTTAATGAAGTGTTGAAACCACCGTACCCATTCCCTTCAAGACTTTAACTACTGTTATGTTGCCGTGACGTAAGTTTTTCGTTTAAACTCATGAACGTTGCACGGTAAAAGCATGTTTCCACAAGAGCTACTATAACGTCTGCTCTTATGTGTCGCTGGCTCTAGATACATGCAATGGAAGCTTTGTGGAAAATCTTCTTACCTTGATGATAGCATCGCCAACAAACAGCTGACCTGTTGCATCGGCAGCTTGGTCCTTGTAGATCCTGGATATCAGTATCGGAAGTTTGTGCTCGGCACCGCCCTTTATGCTTAAACCTAGACCGCCGACCTTTTGCCGGGTGATTTGTACCATGCGTTCCTGTAAAATAAAGAAAATTGAAAATTTAGCTTATCCACCTGTTTGACTACTTGACATAAAGAACCACTGCAGCATTCCACCGTGACATGCCTCGGCTAATTAGCACATTGTCGGCGAAGGTCTGTGGGCTGCCCTCCGGTGACAGCTTTACCAGTTTTCCCACATAGAAGCACGCGCTCTCATAATCAGCAAACAAATTCGCACGCATAAATTATTACCCATATGTTAATGGTTCCACATCCATACATTTCCTTCGCCACCCTTCGTCCGTCTGCAAAACCAGGTGCGAAGGGGGACACCCGGCCCAAGACAACTAATTTGCATACCACTCTGTGTTCACGTGTGGGATGCCATCGAGTTACCTAGTTAATGCGCTCGGATAAAAATGAGTGTGAAAACTGTTGCAACCAACTCGCTTGTCAAAGTACATTTTTTCCATCCCAAAGCATGCATGTATCCATTTCAAAAATAAGTTGCTCAAAGGTTCGCAGCCTGATGTCAACTGCATGAATTGATTTATTAGACCCTCTGCAAATATGCCAACAACGGCAATAGATCATGAATGCGTTAACGCCAACGACGACGATGTGTGATCAAACCCGTTTCGAACGCGGTTTGAGGTGGGTTTATTCTGCGATTAAAATAACCACTCCCGTCCGGTACCCAAGAGATTAAGCTGAAGCTACTCCCATAATCAGGCAAATTATTTGCGACGACCTCTGCGGATGCGTTCCACCACAATCGCATGCCCTTCTTCTTGTTGGGTTGACACGTTCCAGCTAAAGCTGATGTCCGGTCTCAACTTCGTGTTCTTTGAGGCACTTCCACATTTTTTAATTGATAGTTGCCATTTTCTGATGTTGTAAATGGACTGGACCGGAATTCGAACTCATCACCACCGGAATGGTCTGCATTATTTCCACCCTCTTAACACATTCGACTAGTTTGAGGCCCCAATCTCAAGCCTAGGCATGGCTTTATGGCAAACGGCCGGTTGTTTGTCGATGGTTAATGACACTTTGAGGTACTGTTTGCTTTTGGGATTGGTTGTGGTGTGAATGGAGATTACCGTATGTAATTAACAAATGTTGTGTTTATTTCACATCAACACAGGCAATTACAAAGGAACATTAAATTGGGTCTGGTGCGGTACTGTTCATATTCAAATTTCGAGCAGCTAAATTTTATTGCATGCAACTGTTCATATTATGATAATTACTTAAACAAATTTGTTTGCTTTGCTGGAATAGGTTTTGAGGTCTTTTCAATTTTTGTGTTAGCTTCCAAAAAAGGTTTGGAACTCGGCTCTTATTTTTAAAATTTCGTGTTCTTCAGGTCAGAGAATGGCGTTTTAATTGGTTTTGCAAATCCCACCAAATAAATTTCATGCCAGGATCACGAGTTCTTTGATATTGCCACCTACGGACATTTTTCAGATGGATCAAGAGGCAGTTTTTGTTTCAACTATAGAAGTAGTAGAGATTCTAGAGCATCATTGACATCATCTGGTTTGTAAAGGAATATTTGGATCAAAGTTATATTCCATAAATGTTCGATATTGCTTCCAATCAGCTCTATGGTAATTGAAAGTAGAGCTGTTGAGATTAGACATTATTTCATGGGTTATTTCAAATGTTACTGGAAGATGATTAGAACCAAAACCAGTATGAGTAACTAATTGGCTACAAAGTTGACATGTATCAGTTAAGACCAAATCAATAGTTGAGGGATTTCTTACTGAAGAAAAGCATGTTGGGCGTTTGGATATTGAATAGTGTAATGTCACTCTAATAAAAAAAAAGAAAAAATGAATAGTGTAATAACCTGCAGAACAATCATCAAACAGAATATAAACATTGGAATTGCTTTGAGCATTATTCCATGAGCGGTGTTTTGCGCATTGAAATCAACAATAATGAAGAATTTAGACCTATGACGGGTAAGTTTCTGAAGGTCTCCCTAAAGACAATTCCTCTGCTGGCGTACGCATTGAAAAGGCGAATAACCAGCTATAAAGGTAAGTTGTCCTAATTTTGTTTCGACAGATACACCCAAAGTTTCAAAAACTTTGGTTTCAAATGAACAAATAATTGATCTTTGATACATTTATGAACAATGATGGAAATATCACCGGAGCTGGCGATCATTTTTATAAATTAAATATTTTTCGTCCCTGTTAACCTTATGGCCAGCTTTAAGGAACGTTTCAGTTATAGCGAGGATATGCACGTTATGAACTCTCAGAAAAAAGTTCATCTTCATGATCTCTAAGAGATCGTGTATTGCAATTCAAAATATTTAATGATTTAAAATCTATTACTGAATTGAAAAATCATGACTACATTATTAGCAAATTTAACTACAGTTTGAAAAGTATCAAACATGTAGTTAGTTTTCAGCATATCAGTAATCATGTCATGTAAACATTCCATTTAACAAGTGTTTATAACAAAACAAAAACGTTCGCAGAGAAATGCTACCTTAGAATGCTTACAACCTGCAGAAATTGACACACACTTTATTTCACACCAACATATTCTATAGTCGCTATATTCATAGTCTGGTGGATAGAATCTCGGGAACCAATTGAGCTGTCAAATAGCGGAACTAATCGAGCAAATCACGACCAATAACAGAAAAGAGCACATCAGATATTGCAAACAAAATTTCGGAAACTGTTTTCTTGTAACTCAAGGCTCGCCTACACAAACCGACGACATCTTTAGGTTGTGGAAAGTTTCCCCTAACCGATGATGCTGGTAATTTATTTTCGATTGTCGATTAAAGAATAATCAACGTTTTATTTATAAAAGTTGATAGTACCTTTTCAATTGTTGGTCTATAATATATTGAAATGGTTCCGTTTTATCGAAATTCTATCCGCCAGACTATGAATATAGTTCAGTCGTGTTTAGTATGCCGTCTAAACAGGAAGAACTGTGCGCGCACATTGTGGAATTCAAGAGCAAATTTTCATAACGTCGAAAGTAACAAAGGTAAACAAAGTCGAGCTATCAGTGTCAATCGATGCTTCTGCTATAACTTACTAACTTAAAGATCCTGCGCACCTCCAGGGGTGCAAAGGACCTTTGTGAAAGATTCCCATTCTGGGCTATACTATAATGTTTTGAGCCAAATGAACTGTCAAAATCTGAGGCAATCGGACATACCGAACACTCGGATTTATCCGAGGATTTCTTATTCTTACTATAGTCACCCCTCACCATCCCTCTCCAAAGGGGGAGTTTGGTAAAGAGAGATGAAAAAACCGATTTGTACCTTCCTTAAAAGTTGTCCTAGCTCGCTATCTACTTTCTATATGCAATTTTCACACTGCCGTACTCTAACGGAACTATCAACTCTAGACTTTCATCTCCTCCATCTATCGTATAAAAATTACCACTTTAGTCTGTTATTTGAAATTAGCATCTTCAACTATGTAAATCGTTGACTTCACGCAGAAGTAATACTAAACATATAGTCAAAGTAATTTGAAATGCTAGCTTCTTGCAAGGATTGTAATGTGGAAATGGAACTAACATTCATTGTAATAAATTTTTGGTTTGCGTGTAGCTTTAGATTGGCCCCGCCTTTAGAAAATGGGCACCAATCATGTTAGGCAGTCCGAATTTCCGAAGTAATAATCATGTACCCATCATTTCAAACTGTACATTGGACTATTTTTGACCTTTGATTATCTTAAATAAATTAAAGTAAATTAGGATGGGTGGTTTTGTATCACATACAATGATAGAAGAGCAATTGTATCGTAGTTGGTCGCTTAACTCGATTTGTTTACATTTGATTCTTAGGACCTTTTGAAAAGTCACGCGAGAAATGTTCCGCTATTCACCGTATACCGTATCTTTGCATCCATGGCAGTAACCCAGAAGAGATGTAGCCGGCGTCCAACGAAGATAATGAATAATAAGACGCTCCGCTCGCTGCACAACATGTTCAACAAAAAACAGAAAGTTCCGTTGTTTGAAGTCACACACTCACACATCTGCAAGACTCTAGGGAAGGAGGATGTTGGTGTTTTTTGCTTGACCCATTCTTTACATTATTGTATTTAGTGGACACCCGTTAGGAGCAGTAAAGTCAAAATCATCAAAATTTCCGTTAGAATTATGTTGGCTAGTATTTTGATTTCGAAACCATTACCAGCTGCAATAACAGCATGGTTAGCTCCATTGATTTGCTTAACATTGTTAGCAACAGGTATAGATGCAGAATTTTAGCTGACCATTGTTAACAGCAGAGAAATTAGAACCTGACATAGATCGTTAAGCGTTTCATACCTGTCGCTTGGAACAATATTGTAGGATCGCTTTGCGAGTCTAACATAAAAAAAAAATTATGTGTGTTTTCACCACAATTTGATCATTTAAATTTCTTAGGATGTTCCTTCACAGCATAGGTGGCTTTCCGTGAGGAATCACCACAATTAATGCATTTAGATGGCATGTAGCAATTATTTTGTGCCTTGGCACTCACGCATTGGGAAAAGTTTGGGAAAGTTCCTCCAGTCTTCCTGAAGTGTTCTCACTCCACTCGGAAATGGAGCATAAGGCTAGGTTTTTCCAAGGCCTAAAGGTTGTTTAGTTCATTAGTCTTGAAGTGAACTAAATATATATCATTAGAAATCCCGATGCGTGATTCGCCAGGACGAGATTTTATTTTCATTTTGATTACTTGGACTGGCTACACTCCAAGTAATTTTATCAATTTATCTTTGATCTGATCCAGGGATTCACCACTGGGCAGACCTTTCAAGATAACCTTGAGCAGACGTTCAGTTTTGGTGTCGTAAGTTAAGAAAGTTGTGTTGCTTCTCAGTAAGATATTTGAGAAGTCGTTTGCATCCGTCCAAGGCTTTCACCTCGACACACAGTGACACGATATCAAAAATAGTGGGACATGGCTATTTGCGACGAAACTATTGAGTGTAGCATTTTGATGTCTTCTAAAATGTTTCTTCATTTTTTGAGTAGTGAACA